TGCAGCTCTATAGTATCATCGTCATCATCATGCACATGCACACAGCAACATTACTGCATGCATGATTTCGATTTGACAACGTACAAAAACGTTGTCACTCATAGATGGAGAAAGATCATCATGACGATAGTAAGGGTGAGAGAATCTTACGTGGAGCATAACACATTTTTTGGTGAAAAGCTGGAGTAATTTTCTTTTCATGGAGAAAGGAATAATAAAAAATAAATAAAATAACAACAACAATGGAAAATAAAGAATATGAAAGGTAAAATCCAAGAAATAATGAATGGGGGAGATGTAAGTGTAAGGGGAAGTTATGTATATACAAATAATTCAACCGTTTCTCTATATGCAAGACTCAATGCAGTCCCAGACTGAGAGGGAAACTAAGTGACTACTGAGGAAAATTTTTAAATTTCTAATATTTAAAAAAATAATAATAATAAAAATTCTTTTGATAAAAAAAAAAAAAATCTAATGGAAATAATTTTTTTAAATTTTTAATTTTTTCTAACAACAAATTTCAAAAAATTTTAATTAAATAGAAAAATTAAATAGAATTAAATAATTAAATAGAAAATTAAATAAAAAAATATTTTGTAAATGTTTAAAACAAAAATTAAATTTTAATTTTTCATTCAAAAAATTTACAAATGTATTTTTTTTATAAAAATTTTAATAAATTGAAAACACAAAGTATAAAAATGTTTATGGAAAAAATTTGAAATTTTTTTATATAAAAATTTCCAAATATAAAAAGAAAAAAAGGTAGCGAACAGAATAAAAAATATTTGTATATTTTTTTACAAAAATGCGATATTTTTCCGTATAAAAAATATTATATAAAAAATTTTTTTAAAAAATTTGCATCTTTTATTTTTTTATAACTATATGCATAGAAACATTCTATTTGTATTGAAACGTTCACACTTTTTTACATTTTTTTAATATAAACATTTTAAAATTTTTTAAAAAAAAAATTTCAAATTTTTATTACAAAAATCTATAAAAAAATATATTTTTAAAAAATTTTTAAATTTTTATTTAAGAAATTAAACATTCTTAAAATTTCCCTTTCAAAGAAATCATTCAATTTCTTTTATCGTAATTCTTAATTTTTTTTCTGTATTTTCTTTTTTCACTTTTCCTTTAAAAATTTTATCATCTATTCCTCAGAAAGTTTCTTAAATTTCCTATTTTTCTATGAATCTCAATCGAATTTTTCTATAGAAAATAATTCTAAATTTCCTTTGAAATTGCCATGCCATTATGTAGGGTATTTTATTTACACCTAAATCCCGGTTATTACCCTCTATTGTTTGTCTTTATATGATTTCTTGTTGTTGTTTTTATTTTCGGTTTTTGTGGCCACACGACTGTTGATGGCAAGCCATTTGACAAAAACAAATCCAAACATAACACAGCACAACAGTCGTTATACGACAACGACTTGTTGTTATTGCTATTGCAATTGTGTTGATGACAACAATGACGACGATGACAACGACGACGACGATGATGCGAGTGGCGGCAGTAAACATAACAGCTCTCTCGTTTGCATTGTCATTACTTTTCTTCAACAATGCAACAGAGGACGACGATGACGACTGCAACGATGATGAGCACGACAACATAACACACACGAACAACAAGAACAACAACTACTTATGGCATAATAGGAGGGTAGACAAACAACAAATTTCTACACTGCACTGCACACACATTCAGAGTTTAAATAGTGGTGCACACTCATGCACACACACACGCACGCACACGCATAAATAGAGCACATAAGTAAAATGGGAGCACTTTAAACCACACAATAAAAAGTGCTGTGGTTTTGTTTTGCTTTAAGACTCTCCATGAAGAATATATGAAGAATAATAATTTTTGTGTGTGTGTGTGTGCAAAAAATGTGTGACAATAAAGGAATTCATTAAAGAATGGGGAAAAACAACAACAAAACACAACTTCTTTTTTTTTTGTAAATTCCCCTTGTTTACCACTGTCTTATTGGGTTTTGTTTTTCTTGGGAAACTGGCACAAAAACGACTGGTCGTTGTGATGTCGTTGTTGTTTTTGTACGAGTTATGTGTGGGTGTGTGTTCGTGTGTGTGCACTGTAACTTGTCACACATTGTTCAAATGTGTGACAATAAAATGTTGGTAATTAGTGAAATGATTATTGTCATAAGGAGACCAACAGTCCAATTTCTAACTGTCTTCCAGGCAACTGCGCTCTTCTCTCTCCTCCCTCACTCTCACTGAGATTTTGGCATACAACTTCTTCTCTCTCATTGCAATTAAGGTCACATTTCTAAAGAATAAGATGTGTTGTTGACTGCTGCTGCCAGTGTTGTTGTTGTTGATTTTACTGTTCATGCTGTCACTTTTTCTAATTGCACACAAGTGCATCGTTTTATGTCGTTGTTGTCTGTTTGGTGCTTTTGGACATTTGTGGGTTGAAAACTTTAATCATTTCCTTATAACAACAACATTTTTTTCTTTCATTTCATTTTTGCCACAAGCCATCGAACTCATGTGCGTATGTGTGTGTGTGAGTAGAAAAACAAACCAGCTGCCAACCAACATAACAGCGGAACAAATTGATTTTACAGATCTCATAATTAAACTAGCCATCCGAGAAAAGCAAACAAACAATGAGCCAAGTGAAATGGGCGTTGGAGACAAACAAAAAAATCACTTAGTGGAAATGAATAGAATTTTGTAAGAAAAAAAAATGAAAATAAGAAGAAAAGATTCTTGGCAAGCATTGGGATAACCACAGGAATAGAAATGATTTAGAGTGTACACATGCGAATAATTCATAACAAAAAGGATGTGAAATCTGTTTTTAAATAATGTGATAATATTTCATGATTTTTCATGATTATTTAAGACATGGGAGCGTATGAGTGGTAATAATTTCCAGAAAATAGAGATTAGAGCGTATGTATTTATTTTAAAATGTTGAAAAAAAAAATATTTCAGACATGGGAGCGTATGAGTGGTAATAATTTTGAAAAAAAAATGATTATACGGCGTATGAATATATTTTATTTTATTTTTTTTTAATAATTATTTAAGACATTGGAGCGTATGAGTAGTGATAATTTTGAGAGAAATTAGATACTAGGGCGTATGAATATATTTTAAAATTTTGAAAATAATTATTTCAGACATGGGAGCGTATGAGTGGTAATAATTTTGAGAAAAAAATATACATTGGGGCGTATGAATAACAATAATAACAAAATTAGGAATACGTTATGGGGAACGCAAAGAAATCGATTCCGTGTAAAATCTTAAGAAAATAAATTCGACCCCGAATAATCATTAATTGAAAATTTAAAAAGAAAGTAGCAAAAAATAGCAAAAAATTGAAACAAAAAATCCAAGAAAATATAAAATTGGCCAATGGAAAATTTTCGAAATGTTCATTAAATAAATCATATTTTGAAAGTCTTCAGTAAAAAAAATTCAAGAATTTTTTTTAATTTTTTTACTGAATGATCTGTTCCCGTACAGCAAACATCTACCAATTTTTGCTATTTTTTTCTATATCACAAGGGAACAATTTTTATCATAGTTAAAATTTTTACATTCTTGCAGGTTCTGGCACCGATATGAATTTTTTATTTAAATTTTCTCCAGGAATAGAATAATTTTAATTACAAAACACTGCATTTTTTTAGGCGAAGAAAATGCAAAAATGGTAGTATATAGAATTTTTAACTCGAAATCGTGATTGATTTTTTTTTTTTCTACCGACCCTTTATATTTGAATAATTCGTTTTTCTTTTCCAGACCTTTAAAATCAAAACCAAAAAATATTGAATGTATCACGAAAGTGTTTGTATGTATTTTGTTAATGATTTGTTTTCCTAAATATTTAAAACATTTATTATTATTTATGATTTTTATATAATATATAATTATAATTAATATAATACAATTTAAATTTCCTACTATTTTGTATATTTACATTTTCATCAGAACTAACCTACAAAATTTGACACTTAGTTGGCTAGAAATAGTTTGTATGTGGGTATGTATGAGTATGGTTTTAATGATTCCTTATATGTATAAGAATTTTTTTTATTATTTTAAATTTTAAAAACAGGACCAAGGAGTCAAGATTAGAAAAAATTAGAAAATATTAAATTATTTCATAAAACAATATATATTTTTAAAATTTATTTTTTAATTTTTTTATTATTTAAAAAAAATGTAATATTTTTTTATATATTTTTTTATTATTGTATAAAAATAACGTTTTTAAAAAAAATTGTTTTTAATTTTTTATAAAAAAATTTAAAAGAGAATTTTATTAAAAAAAAATATCCTCTTCTTTGACTCCTTAGTCCTGTTTTTTTAATTAAAAAAAAATATTTTATTATTAAACTATTTTTTTTGTGTTATTTTATTGGAATTTACTGGAATATGTTCCCACTTAATTTATTCAAAAAAATATTTTTAATACTACAATGTTGTTGTTGTTTTTTTGTTTTTATTATTTTATGACCTAGAAAAATCAGTTTAAAGTTATGAATTTTTTTGCTTTCATTTTTTCCTATTTTTGGTAGACGTATTAAATCGATTTTTTTCTCTAATTTTGATGATACCTTGTTAGTAGTTTTTCCTAATCTTCAGCTTCTCCTCCTTCATCTTCTTCTTCCACCTCAGCCATTCTACACCCGTATCACCTCACCCGGCTGAGTTTTCGATTTTAAATCACCAAGACTACCATCCAAGGAGTCTCGTTCACTATTCGATAGCGTTGTTGCCGCATCCTGATGGTCCAATTGTGACACGGCGCTTAGGGTAAATACATCATCTGGTTGGGTGGAGGTGGCTGGCGAATCACTAAGTAAACCACTCAAAGTGGGTCATCTTAGCGACTCACGTCACATGAAAACATCAGCTCCCGCATTACTGCCACCACCACCGCCAACCCCATGCCCCGAGTTGGTGGCTTTTCGTGGTGTCGTTGGCACGCCGTGGGGACACGTTGAACCCACCGTTGAGGTATTGGGCAGCGGCGGTACCATACCCTTTGATTCATCCTCAAAGGTTACCATTTTCTCACGGGGTTTCATAACTATTTGGACCTGGGGCGGAGGTGGTGGACCACATATGAGGGTTTGTGGTGGTCCCAGTTGTAGGCCATGCGGTAGGCCCATACCGGTGGGTGAACAACGCCTTGGTGGCGGCAATGCCAAATCTCCAACTCCCGACAAATTGAATTCACTTACACTACGCGGCACAAAATACTCGATATGATGTTCGGGTATGCCCGTTGATCTTCGTATGGGGGTGTTGCGTTGAAAATTCGAATTCAGTGTTCGCCTTGGCAAGGAGTTGTACTGGGAAAATAGATGAGCTGGTCCAAAGAACATGGTCTGATGCTGGCCCATGGTGTTGGGGCCAGGACCGCTGCCTGCAAGCAGGTCAGCGGTAGGTCGTTGTCAAGAGGATTTGGGAGTGACTGAAACCGATACCAGCGACACATCGTCCGATTGGGGCATGACATGATCTTGGACACTAAAGCGGCGCAGCCACATGACCAGCTCCGTTTGGATGAGGCTGAAACACATGGCCACCACGGCCATGCCTATTAGGATGTAACCGGAAGCTAAATATAAAGTGAGATTTCCCGAAGGCGTCAGCTCACCAAAACCAATGGTACCCAAAGAGGTGAAACAGAAATAGAGAGCCTCCAAAACACTCCAATCCTGCATTTTGTGGAACAGCAATGCTCCCGATGTGATGTAGCAGATGAGAACCATTACACATATGGATATGGGTACACTGGGTGAACCACCTGTGGGGGAGCAATGTTTACTCAGCGGACCATATTGATGATGATGTGGATGACCGGGTAACATTTTGGGTCCCGCAAAATGTTGTTGCCCTGATTTGTTTTTGTGTTTGGAATCACCCTTTTTACTCCCCGATGATGAGGTATTCCCACTGGAAGAGTTGCCACCACCACCGCTACCTCCATTACCATTACTGACAGCACTCTTTGAGCGAGCCTTGCGAAATAGGCAACGCATACCCGCCGATAAACCCTCACCCATGGCGGAGAGATACAGCAGGACAATGGGTATGCCAAAGAGGGCATAGATCAGGGCTGCAATGCGGCCCCATTGGGTGCGGGGTGAAATGCCACCATAACCTGGAAGAAGGAGAAAAAAATAAAAAACAATTACAATCAATTCCAGATAAGGCTGGGAGGTATTAAAAGGTATTACGGAGTACATCTAAATATTAATCAGTCTGAGTAGAGAGTAGTCAAGTTGAGCAGACATCATCGTCATTGCTACAAGCTCGTTAAGCTTATCTGATGGAGCTTTAACAAAATGTTTTTTTTTTTGCTTCTCTCACAGAAAAACAAACAAAAAATATTTAGTGTCACTGGTCATTGTCTTGTCTGCGAGGTCTTTGTCCCTCCACCATTGATACACATGCCAATAGCTAAATGTCTGTGTGTGCGGGTGTGTGCAAAAAGATTTTTCCAAATTCATTTACTAACACTTGTCTGGCCTTTCTCTCTAAGAGTGAGTGTGTGTGTTTGCCTGTGTGTTTATTTCTCTCTCTCTCTCCTCTGCCTTGTAATTCACATTCACAATCTCTTAGTGTAAGGCGCAAATTAACCTCAAACCACAACAACGAATGGCTTAAATGCTGCTAGTCCTGTAATTTTGTGGTTACAGCCATGTGTTAATTCGCCTTGTACACTGGCCATGGCATGGCTGGCATCTTGTTCACGTCGATTGGGCACACAAATGTAAACATTTCGAGGATAAACGAAATGTCCTCCCCCCTCGCCCATGCCATCACACGACCACCAACAACTTGATTAAAAGGCAAAATATATGGCCTCACACATTCAACCAACGAGGTTGGGTGGCGGCGAGCATGTCTCGTATTGTTTGAGACAACCATCTTGCAGTTGTAAGAACCAGTCGTAGAGTTTTGCAACATGTCATTGGACTACACTACAACTACAACTCTTAAGCCTGTGGTCACATTAAGCTTTATCGGTTTTTACACCATGCATCTGGCGGAGAGCCGTAAGGCAGACAGATTGGGAGATGGAGGAGGTAACAAACAGAAGATTAATTATGGGAACCAAAACAAAAAAAAAAAAACAAGAGAAAGTGATAAACTAGTAAGTAGGCATATTTAAGAGGATTTACTGACAATTTTGTATTTTTATTGATAACTTTGGAACTTCTCTGAAGAAAATTTTAGAAAAAAAAAATTTTAAAAAAATCGACTTTTTTAAACTAAATTTTTTTCTATTTTGAAGAAAAAAAAAGTAAAAATTTCTTAAGGAAAGAATTTTTGAAAAAGTAAATTGATTTTTTTTTTCGGGAAATTTTCCTAAAGAGATTTCTTTGAAAATTTCCAAAAATGTTGAAATTTTCCTAAAAAGAATTTTGTATAATTATAAAAATTATCTAATAGTTCAGATCTATTAACATATATGAATTTTCTAAAGGAAATTATAAAAAAGAGAATTTTCGAATTTCGAAGAATATTTGAAAATTTCTTATTGAAATATGTGGACATTTTCCCATTGAAAAGTTTAAGTTTTTTTTAATGTTTGATAATTAAAAATTTGATTTATTTAATAAAAATATTATTTTTTATACCCTTCACCAAACTGTAGTACAGAGTATTATGTCTTTGTGCATATGTTTGTAACAGGCAAAAGGAAACGAGATAGACACATGGTTACTTTTGAGAATAAGCACAGAATCACTTTTTAAGTCGATTTATGCATGTCCGTCCGTCCGTCTGTCTGTCCATGTTAAATTGTAAACAAAGTGCAGGTGGCATTTACTATCCGAATTAGATGAAATTTGGCACAGCTATTTTATTTGGCCCAAGAACGAACCCTATTGAAATTGGGAAAAATCGGTTCAAATTTAGATATAACTCCCATACATATTTTCGTCCGATTTTAGTTAAATGGTGCACCAAAGTACCTATAGATCGTTCGATTGACACGAAATTTGGCACAGCATTCTGAATAAAGTCTACAAAGATGTGTGTTAAATTTCTTGAAAATCGGCCCAGATTTAGATATAGCTCCCATATATATTACCCTCCGATTTAAGGTAAATTGTGCACCAAAGTTCCTATATATCATTCGATTGGCACGGAATTTGGCACAGTGTTCTGAAATAAGTCTAGAGAGATATGTGTAAAATTTCGTGAAAATCGTTTCAGATTTAGATATAGCTGCCATATATATTTTCGTCCGATTTTATGTAAATAGTGCACCAAAGTACCTAGAGATCATTCGATTGGCACGAAATTTAGCACAGCGTTCTGAATAATGTCTAGAAAGATGTGTGTTAAATTTCCTAAAAATCGGTCCAGATTTAGATATAGCTCCCATATATATTTTCGTCCGATTTTATGTGAATGATGCACCAAAGTCGCTATATAAACTTCGATTGGCACGAAATTTGGCACAACGTTCTGAATAAAGTCTGGAACGATGTGTATTAAATTTCTTGAAAATCGGTTCAGATTTAGATATAGCTCCCATATATATTTTCCTCCGATTTAAGGTAAATTGTGCACCAAAGTCCCTATAGATCATTCGATTGACACGAAATTTGGCACAGCGTTCTAAATTAAGTCTAGAACAATGTGTGTTAAATTTCCTAAAAATCGGCGCAGATTTAGATATAGCTCCCATATATATTTTCGTCCGATTTTAGGTAAATGATGCACCAAAGTCCATATATATCCTTCGATTTGCACGAAATTTGGCACAGCGTTGTGAATAAAGTCTAGATTGGTGTGTGTAAAATTGCATGAAAATCGTTTCAGATTTAGATATAGCTCCCATATATATTTTCGTCCGATTTTATATAATGGTGCACCAAAGTCCCTTCGATTTCCACGAAATTTGGCACAGCGTTCTGAATAAAGTCTAGAACGATGTGTGTTAAATTTCCTGAAAATCGGCCACGATTTAGATATAGCTCCCATATATATTTTCGTCCGATTTTAGGTAAATGGTGCACCAACGTACCTAAAGATCATTCGATTGGCACGAAATTTGGCACAGCGTTCTAAATTAAGTCTAGAACGATGTGTGTTAAAGTTCTTGAAAATCGGACCAGATTTAGATATAGCTCCCATATATATTTTCGTCCGATTTTAGGTAAATGGTGCACCAAAGTCCATATATATCCTTCGATTTGCACGAAATTTGGCACAGCGTACTGAATTAAGTCTAAAACGATGTGTATTAAATTTCGTGAAAATCGGTTGTGAAGGGTATCATATAGTCGACCCCGTCCGACTTTACTACTTTCCTTTCTGGTTTTCTTATAGAAAAATATTTTTTTCTTTTTTTATCATGTCCTGCAAAGATTATCTTCTGCAACCCCATGCCCCATCCCTGTATGGGCAATCAAATAAAATATTATATGGCTGACCTCGCCGCCCCTTCTTCCATCCTTCCCATGACATGTCATTTTCATTTAAGACAACTAACTCATTCCTTTACTAATACCCAAAAATAGACAATTACCTCATTTCCCCCTGCCCTTTCTCCATGGCTACTCTGCACGTTTTGTCGCTTAGCAAAGTGTTGCAGAATTGTGGAATTAAAAGTTTTCCACTTCGGGCATTTACACTCTAATAGCCTTTAATGGGGATGCTAATAAAAAAACAAGAACATATAAAAATAAAACTCAACTGAAACTCTATACAAATCAAATATAGACTATAGAAATGCAATGGTACACAAAGAGAGGGAGGGAAAGAGAGTGAGGGAAGAGTTGAGAGAGTACACTGTGTACAACGACTGGAAGACATTTAGGCAAAGCAGCACTTAAACGGAAAGAAATCAGAATCACATTCCAAGTCATTCATTCATTTACTCCCTCTGCCACCCTCTCTCTCACTCCCAGATTCTCTTCTTCTCTCTCTCTCTCCATCAATATTAATGGCGGCTTTTAAGGGGGACAATAAATGTATTTTTCTGCTCTGCAAAATAACTGAATAACTTAAGAAGTATGTCCAAGCAGTTGTCGGAGGTTGTGGTACAGTTGAACTCAATTCTAACGAAACAGACCACAGGATAGGAACAAAAAAGTTACGACAATTTTTCCGTTTCTCATTGCTGGAACATTACAGGCGTTGTAAACTTTTAATGTGGAAACTTTTATAATTGAGTAAAAATTGCAAAAAAAAAAAGAAAAAAATCGAAATGAAACGAAAAGGCCAGCATCGCCCAACAGAAATTCCGGAGTAATAAAACTAGCAGCAAATGAATGTTTAACACTTACCCAGCTAAGTCCTACCACTCAGTCAAATGGATAAAACCCACACAGACACACACATACACACTCATATTTATAAATAGATAGCCATACCCATCACCACTAAATGTGGTGTACGTGGTGGCACACACTATCATCTCCCCGCAAACATATCTCCTAACTGACCCTTCAGAGGAGAAAAAATATGCTGGCTAAAAGGTTATAAAAATATTTGTGTGTGTGTGTGCCCTTTAAGCCTTAAAAGTGTAATCTTGGTTACGTTTGCGGTCTAAATAATCTCTCTGGGGAGTTAAAGGTCATTCAAAATGGACTTATCGGCAATAGGTTATGAAGTTGAACTTATATGATGGCATAGGGGGAGGAGGGAGCATAGAAAAAAAGGTTAAATTCCATAACCATGAAAAGTAAGTGAAGAAAAAAAAATAAAAACAAATTACTATAACTACGCAATGAAATGAGATAAAACAGAGAGAGAGAGAGAAAAAGAGAGGGAGAGGGACTACATTAACTTAAGAAAGCCCTTAAATATTAAGCTTAAAAATTATATTTTATATTAAATTTAAATACTTTTATCTGCCATGGGTATTTTTTATTCTTCCTTTCCTTTGTGCTGGGTCACACAGCATCATTATCCACGGAGGCTGTGACCTTGCTGCCCATGACCTTCAGACATATTTTTAAAGTGTGAAATTGTCCTTAAAAATCGTTATCGATGGGCGAGCAAAAAATATGCCTGACAATGCAATATGATGTTACACTCTCGCTCGCTTGCTCGCTTGATTGATTATCAATTGATGATAAAAATATAGACACTTTGTCACAAAGGCCTCTCCTTCTGGTCACTTTCCCCGCACGTGAAGAA